TAATTCCTTGTGACTTTCATTAGTGTTACTTTTAAACAAATAATAGCATTCATTAATATAGTATTTAAAATAAGCAATGAGATACCTATTAGACCATGTTATGAATTTAATATATTAAATATAAAAACAAAACTAAGCATTTTTAAATAGCTTTATCATAAGCAATGATGAAAGCTGCTTGAGCCTTTAGATTTTGGTAGATAATTTGTTAAAGTGATATAAAGCATAATTCATACCACAGCTTTTCTTTGTATGCACTTTATATATTTGTAGACAAATAATGTATACTAATACAGGAATTGTCAAACCATGGCTTTTCTTGAGTCATATGTGAACTTAGAATGGTCTTTTAAAGAATTGTATAAAAAAGAAAAAAGAATATGCAGCAGAAATCATATGTGGCCCTCAAAGCCTAAAATATTTACTGTCTGATCCTTTACAGAAAAAGTTTGTCAACTCTAAAATATAAAGACACAGTACATAAGCTTGGCAAGTTTCAGTTCCAGGTGAGAAGGTGTAAGCGCGTGACAACCTGTCTCTCCCATGAATGCATCTATTATAAAACCTGGACAGAATGCATGGAACAAGCTATTTCAAGATTCTGAAAAATTAAATAGTGGCAGGTGAATTAGGGAAGACCAGAATTTGAAGTACTACCAAACTGGCGGTGAGTTTTCCATTTTTCCCCTTGTGTTGTCACATGGCCTGGTCTCAACATAGGCTGAAACCATGAAGTAGACCTCAGTGCAGGCAGAGAGAGTTCCAGAAGCCCTCTCCTTCAGGCTTGAGAAGTAGAGCTCGTGGCTCTCAGGAGTAGCAGCGGATGCAGGGGAGGGTACAGTGTCTACAGTTTTGAAGTAGGAGAGCCTTCCTTTCTGACCACAGGGTCTGTGGTCAGAAAGGGGTGGGGCACAATACATTTGCTGTTTTTCTCTCGGCCTGCCTGCCAGTTGGCCCCCACTCAGGACAGTTGCGCAAAGTAAGTGGCTAAATGGGGTAAATAAAGCCCCAGCTTTCTGGACAGAGTGCCAAAAGGGAGAGCCCCAGGGAACCAGAAAATACTAAGGAGATCAAGGAGAAGGGGGGACATCGGAAAGGGACTTAAACAATTATTTATGTCTTGAGTGTCATAAATGATAATATCTCTGTAGTGCTTAGAACAGGGCTTGACTAAGAGTAAGACCCAAGAAACAGCTGCTTAACCAATCATTATTTCCCATAATGTTGTATAGGAAATACACAGATTTCTTCCTTTTCTTGGTTTAAACTATATAGGAGTCATGGAGATTAAGAGTATTGGCTCATCTGCAGCAACCATATGTCAGGCCACCTTTATATAATCTTAGAACATTGCATTTGGAAGGGATTTTGGAGATCAGATGTTCTAACATATGCCTATTCAAAGTAGCAATCCTCTCTGCAGTTTCCATTTAGAGATGATAAGTCACCTAGAGGCTATCAGTACACTTACAGTGACAGAGGCTGGCCGCTCTAGGAGGGGCATATGATTGTTTAACAATCATGTATACATACTTCGCAATTTTTTTAGTTCTACCCTCTGTAAAGTGTAAAAAAAAAATAAGTTGAATCTTTTTCACACTGTAGTCCTTAGTCATCCCCAATATTTGAACAGACTTAATTCTGTGCTGGAGATTCTGAGAGTGGGGCCTAGGGGTCTCGTTTAACTGACACACTTTTCTCAGGACCCTTTCTTCTCTCTTCCCCCTGCTTTTAATCCATGAGGATGTATGCAAAATTTTTTGTGTGCCTGTGTGCATGAGGTTTCATAACCTTGAAAACATTTAAGAATCACTGCCTTGTCCTGGCTGGTGTGGTTCTGTTGGTTGAAGCATCCAGGGGCGTCAAACCCGTTCTCTGTGGGCCACATGTGTCCCAGGATGGCTATGAATGCAGCCCAACACAAAATCGTAAATTTACTTAAAACCTATTTTTTGCTTATCAGTCTTTGTTAGTGTTGGTGTTTTTAATGTGTGGCCCAAGACAACTCTTCTTCCATTGTGGCCCAGAGATGCCCAAAGTTTGGACACCCCAGTGCCAAAAGGTTACAGGTTTGATTCCCTGTTAGGGTACATATGGGAGGCAACCAGCCGATACTCCTCTCTCACATTGATGTTTCACTCTCTAAAATCACTGAAAATACTAAAGTTAAAAAAAAAAAGATTCACTGCCTTAGACATGCTCATGACTATAATTTGCCCTGCATACATCTGCATCTCAAAGCACCAAAAAATGGTAAAGGACCACTGTTTTTTCTCGTAATGGTAGAAGTGATTGAAGACAAAGATAGGAATCTCATGGAAAGAGGAAAATCTGAGAGTTAAAGCAAAAAGGTAGAGTTCACCTATATCCACTGAGCCAACACCCTTAAAATCTTTGGTAAGTCTTCCCTCTAGTCTTCTTAGTGAATTACTTCTTACATAATAAGGTATGTTAAGCAGAAGGTAGGATTTAGTGAAGCAGTCTTTCCTTGAAACATCTGTAATGCAAAATGAGTAATGACTATTTTGTCCTGCAGTGGATAATCATTTTAGCTAAAGATAGTATTGTGACTGTTATATATTCAAGTACATACATTATGTACACACACATATGATACTTAATATAGTTCAGTTGCCCTTCAAGGTCAACCCATTCCTTTTGTTGTGCCAAGTCTTGTGCTCTGCTGTTGAGGCTCGAACAGCTCTTGTCTCCTCAGAATAGCCATCCTTGACTTCCTTTGTAAGACCACAGAATATTATTGCATGGGAAAGCACTATTGGCAGTGCAGAATAACAGAGATCTAGGTAGAGAAAATTGCAATGGTGCTTTTCTGAATTATCTCTGAATTGTTATCCATCTAAGTAAATTTCTCATTCACATAAGCATTTTGTTTTTGTGCATAGCTGTCCTGTCATCAGTAGTGAATTAAATAATCACAGTTATGTCCATAAAAATATATAACTTTTTCATAATTTTGCACAATATTAAAAGAAAAAGTAAAATGAAATATTATGGCTACAAATATATTTTTAAATTCAGTAGAGACGTAGTACTTGGTAAAGATAGAGGTGAATTTGGATAAAAGTGTAAACTATTTTAAAATTTAACAAAATCACTGAACTTAGCCTACTAATGAAAGTTACAGGGGAAGTAATTATTTTTCTTTTCTAAAGCCATGTAGTTATTTAGCTCATTGTAGGAATGATAATATAGGTCAGCAGAAACTATACAATAGTTACAAAAATCTGTTAAGTTTAGTATAGTTAGTATAAAACAAACTATTTAAAAAGTTACATTGGACATCTTGCTTTTCTTTGTGTCTACTGCTATTCCAAATTTAAGGTAGGTTTAGATCTTTAACAAAGGGTAAAGGAACCTACTACATCTGTGGTGGTTAATTCAGTGGGTATGGAAAGAAGAACAATTTGAGGTACAGTGAAGAATTAAGGGTAATGGAAGGAAACAGAGACTTGTGTTGTACCCTTTTCTTGGCTTCTTTTTTTTTCTTTTTTCAGCTTAGCAAATGTAAGGTGCCTTGTCTGCCCGTCTACTGCAATGCAAATTAAAGTTCTTAAGGTCTGTGAACTTAGTAGGATGAACTTAAGCATTGCTTGATATTTTTTCCCCCAGAATTCCCCTTATGGATTGGCATAAAGTGAGAGTTCGTCCACTAATGCCCACACCTTCTCTTTTAGGGTTAGGTACTGCATCATGCCCAAGAGAGTTTTGGGTAAATGTTGGCTGATGAGGATGAGAGTAATTTATTTCAGGAGGAATTCTCTTTATGGTTATGTGGCACATTTCACAGAGTCATTGGGAAACAGAAATTTTGTTTGAACTTGAACTGTTACTGTGTGATTTTTGCTGGTTATGCTATTATAAGTTTTATATGAATATTTAAAAATTGATTCATTTGGTAAAGTGCAAAGTTCTATAAATATTGAAATGTAACTTAACTGTTTTTAACTGGGATATTTAAGAATAATATGCATTGAAATTGAATGATGAACACAAGGACTTTCCAAAGGTGTGAGTTCCCCAGGGTTTAGGAGTTTTATGAATAGGTCTTGTTCCCTGAATATACATACCTACTGTATTTTTTGCTAAATAGCAGGATAATTATTTTTGCAGCACTAGAGTGTTAGTATAACATCCTGAAAATATCTCTGTGTGACGTATATGTTGTCTGAATGCGTGTAATCAAGTAGTTTTATTTTGATCTTATGAAAGCATTAATTGCTAAACATGTTCTTAGTTTTCCTTAAAAGTAAATCAACAAATAACTTCAAGAAAAAATAACACTAATTCCTTGAGGGTTAGTGATAAGGGGTATGGTGTATTCTGCTCCAGGATATGTTTTGGGGAAATTACCATATTTTGCCCTGTATAATGTGCTCCTGTATATAGTGTGCACCCGCATTTTTGGCCCAAATTTTCAGGAAAAAAAATCTTTCGTTTTAATTCAGTTTTTTATTTATATTTAGAAACAAAACTGATTATCGTATTCCAGAGTATTATTTTGCATATGGATATCACTATTGCTTTCTAGAGTTACAGTTTTGATACATAAGCATAAATAAAAGAATTAAAAACCTTTATATATGGATTTAGTACTACTCACGTATAATGCACATCCTTATTATTCCCTCAAAAATTTGGGCAAAATAGTGTGCGTGATATACAGCAAAATACGGTACTTGGAAATCAAGGAATCTCAGGTGGAGCAACTTCAAAACACTTTGCTGTAATCTGTTCTGTAAGATAATTAAGTGTTGACATGTAAGAACATGTAAATGTAGCATTCTAAAAGAGTTATAAAAGACTTTTCTTTTACAGTAAGATCTCTTAATAGATAACTTGCATTAGTTGAATATTTGAAAAACACTGTCTAAAATAAATACTGTCTAGAATAAATACTATACAGTTACCAAAATTTGTATTATTTTCTCTTTTGCATCATTAATGTTGTATATGTTATATATCCTTTTTTTTTTTTTTAGCTGAATATGTCAAGTGATGAGATAGCTGCCAATCTGCAAGCCGTTATCAATGAAGTGTGTCGGCACAGACCCCTGGATTTGGGTAAGTGGTTAGTTGGAGTAGATTTCCCTATAGCCCTGTGATACTTTACAAATGTAAAATATTAAGAAAACAATCTAGTTGATATGCAGCTATAATAACAATCATACTTCCAGGGATTAAATAAATGAAATTTAACTCTCCAAAGGATTTCTAATTGCCTTATTAATATGTGTATTTGTTTAGAGAGGAGACCTCTTTAGCATAGTGGGAATAGTCTACATCCTGAAACCTTTGTAAATTCCCAATGATTTCTACCATTAAATGTAATAAAGTTTGCATGAAAACTGTAACCGATTGTCTTAAACTTAATGTGGCATTAAATAGAAACTAAAATCAATTATGAAATGGTGTTGTGAAGCCACACCTTCCACTTCGTCCCTAGGCACACGTCCAGTGCTTGCCTCACTGTGTCCATACTCACATTCTGTCCCGAGGCAAATTCCGCTCACAGCTGCCTGAGGCCAAGCAAGTGTCCGTTACACTCAAAAGACTATCCACTCAGAATTTTATCATTATAGGCATCTGTCACTGTGAGTTTCATAACCAAATGTCTAATTAAAACACCATCTTACACTATTTTTCACCTTCTTTGAGAGTTAAACTCACTGGTGATAAGTACCTCATTTGTGAGCTCTGTTGTCCTGAGTTTGGCCATAGTACTTGGTAGTGGTCCGTGTATGTGTGTGGATTCTTACATTCTATGGAGAGCCTTAATTTGAGTATAGGCTGCTCTCAGACTGTAGCTGGAATAGAATGATGGGTGGTAAATCTCTAAAAACAATATAGTTATCTGGTTTTTGCCATTTTAAACTAAGTCCCTTAACATTGCTCAAAGGAAAAGCTTTTTACTTCTTCGAGCAATTTTATTAAATGTTTGGTAATACAAAGGTAGCATCTGTGTTGACTATTTTAAATAAATATTAGAGAATTTCCACCAAAGGTAAATATTGCCACCTGTTCCTTCACTGTTGACTTCACAATAAAATGAATTTGAAGTGATCATACTCTGGCAGAGAGAAATGAATTATTTGTGAATATGTGTAGTTTAAAGGATAATCCTCTAATATTCTAGAGTGTAGCTGGTTTGTCTTCTCTAGAAATGAAACAATCTTTCCTTTCTTATACTTAGAAATATTAGTTTAGTAATGTCAGTACTTAAAACATGGGACAGGAGTTCTGTAAGGTTTCTTGGTGTATGTTTGTATTTGCTTGTAGGTATCTATGGACTAAAATGAAAGTTGATTCTTGTCTTTGTTTCTAGGACCCTTTGTGGTACGAGCTTTCCTTCGTAGTTCAACAAGTGAAGGTTTATTACTAAAGGTCGAGCCATTGTTGCCTAAAGCAGTAGAAACCAAAGAAAGTAACAAAGAAGCTGCCTGAAACTGTTATATTGTGAAGTTTTGTTTTAAGTGGATTAAGAAGCAACAGAAAATTATAAAACTATATAGTATCTACATTTGGAATCTTGTTATTTCTTGATCATCATACTTGAAAGTGGATTTTAACACTGGACAATATTACAACACATTCAAAAATAATAAAATAAAAATTTCTCTGTGTCTGAACCTGCCTTTCAGGTCCTATTAAATCTTCTTTCTTAGAATTCAGATTTTACATGCTGATAATTATAGCAACAGTTTCTAGCTTAATAACTTTCCCTTGAGAACTACACCATCTGAGGGAAAAGTAACATCCTCAGTTCCCCTAAGAGAGAGAATGGCAGAGTTGTAAACTATATCATAAATATGACTGTTTTCTAAAGAAAAAATATGGAAAATGTTGGAAAGCATTCATTCTAAAAAATTCTGAATGCTATTTTGATAACATTATTGAAAGTGACTAAGCCTCTTTTTCATCTTAGGAATCAATGTATAATATTTATATTTTTATAATAACAATAATGCATATTTTTATGGTGTTTTTGCAATATGCAAAGCATGTGTAGAGTATTTTCATATACTTAGCCTCATTGCATCCTGAATTCTTCTGCTCAATAGGAATAGGTTTGGTTAGTGTTTATTGAATGAACATCCCATGAGATGGATGAACAACTTCCTTTATGGATGAAGAATCAGGCCAAGAAGTTAAATATCTTTTATCAAGTGCCTGTTTGCAAACTGGTATTGGTCCTTAACTGTGTGACAAAACAAGAAATAAAAAAGGTTCAATAATTATGGCATGCAGATGCCAACTGTTCTTTCTTGGAAATGATTTCTTACTCTGAGACTATCTTTCACTCTTTGTAGGAATGTTCAAAGGCCTTTTATGAAATAATAGTGCTGATAAATTTGGTGGGTTTTAATACTACCCAGTTTATAAAAAATATTTTGACAGCTCCATGGAGGTCTCCCAAATTGTTTTTGAAATTTTAGTAGTCTAAGAAGTACAAATGAGCATGAGCAACCACTGTACCCCACTGTTTTTTCCCCACAGGGAGATTAAAATTTAAAGGCTAACTAGTTAACTACAAAACAGTAATTGCAGTTACTTCCTGTTGAGGGCCTACTATTGTCTTCTGCTTTACATGCATCCTCTCATCTTATCCTCAGAGCAGCTCAGTGAGGAGGGGGTTGCTCCCATTTCACAGATACAGAAATTTAAACCTGTATGAGATCATATAAGTGGCCAGCTAAGATTCAAAATTAGATCTGTCTGATTTTGAAGCCTGTTCTTTAACTATTAGGCTATTTTACTTCCTGTTTGTATATTCTAAGATAAATTAAACTGTTAACTGAACACTTAAAATTTTTAAATATTGAATAATTATAGTTTAGTTTTTTAGGATCTCTCATTATGGGGTTGTGACTTAATGATAGGAAGAAAGTAGAAATAAAAGAGTTGGAAGGAGTGGGTTGAGCGAGAAGAGAGTAGTGCAGGATGGAGAGAAAAAAGATCTACTTGTTTCCTGCGATTCCCATCTTTTAAAAGCTTACTAATTACTTGATTCTGATTGACAGAGTAGCAGCTCTATTGTATTTGTAGATTTTTTTTCTGATTAATAGAGTACATATGCTCTTGTTATTGACAATTTTAGAAACACTAATTATTTTAAAAATCACTCATACTCCTACTCCTCATAGGTAACCAGCATTAATGTTTTGATGCTTTCCACTGTGCTTTTCAATGGACAGAAACAGACAATACGCATACATGTGTTAATAAAGTAAGCATTTCCCCAATACTGTTTAAAATTTCCCATGAAAAGCATTTTAACGGTTGAACAATATTCCATCCTGTTGATTCTGTATGGAATCATTTCCCAATTTGGAGGCATTTAACTTGCCTGTCCCCCCCCCCCCGACCCCCGTGCCCCCTCCCCTGGTATTTTAATGCTTTAGAGAAAATCTTTGGGCATAATTTATTTTGCTGTTTCCAGAAGTGGACATTCCTGGGTTAAAAGGTATGATATGGCTAAAGTTCTTATGTCTTAGAAAGGTGCCTTTTCATCTGAACAAACCAGAACAAGGAAATGTGGTTGGAAAACTTGCTCTGGGCAAGAACATTCCAGGGTCTTTTTACTGGCCTATGAATAAATAACTCCCTACCCTTCCATTAGAACGTTTTTCCTACTGGCTAACTAGAACTAATGCTGAGTGTTTATAATGATAAGCTTCTGGAAAAATGGTAGGGTTGTACTGGATTACTCTTTTTCTCTTTTGTACTACTATACTATCATTTTCTTAGATACCAGTAAATTAAATCTTTTATTTAAGAAGAGTAAAAACTTTCAAATTTTATAGTAGATACTAGTGATTCTCAAACTTTAGCTTGCATGGTAATCACTTGGAAGGTTTGCAAGCACAAATTGCTGGGTTCCACTCAGCCATCTGGGGTAAACCTAGAAAATTTGTATTTCCAGAGAGTTAAAGACAAAAGGCTTGGGATTCAATAGTGACTTTTTTTTTTTTTTTAATATAGCAAGTAGTTAATCACAATGTCCAGTAGGTGGCAATAATAACCTTTCATAAAACTTTAATAGTTGACTTACTGGTAAATGATTGCTATTTTATTTGAAAATAAAATAACAAATATAGACCACTGGCACTTTGTTTTGGTATGAATCTGTTTTGCTTGTTTATTCTATTTCGGGCACGTTACAGAGCTTGCTTTAGGTGTCACTGCAGTAATGCATATTAAGGATTGTTTTAGCTGTCCCTGTTTTTACTCTTACAGAGGCTTTCAAATACACAGAAAATTTTAAAAATAACACCTATGCAGTCACCACCCAGCTTTAGCAGTTATCAACAGTATGCTATTTTTCTAGTTACATTTATTCCTCGCATCCACCCACCAGTCTGAGCTTGTCCTCATCCCTGATAGAGTAATTAAAAGAAAATCCCATGTATCGTATTACTTAACCTGTAGAGTTTTAAGAATAATCAAGCTATAATTACAAGAGGATTTTAGATCGATTTTTTCAGGACCTATTGTGTTTATATTCTGCTCTTACCATTGAGGCCCTTTAGTTTTTTGGGGTTATATTTTTTATATAATGAAAAAACAAATATTTTTAATATTTTGAGAACTTAGAGAACATAGTAATGCAATTGGCCATGAAAGGTTGTATGAAATGTGGTATTTGAAAGAAGTAATTGATATTTTCACTTAAAATTTTTGAATTTTAATGTAATGTAAAATTAATTACATAATGTAAAATTGGAGTAAAGTTAGAAATTGAACTATGATTACAATAGATTAAAATACTGAATTTTCATATGAAGATATCCAAAAGAATTAAAGTTCTGTATTTCTTAAAAAAATAGAAGCACATTAAATAAGTTTGGCAAGTAGAGAGAGGAAGAACACAATGAAGAATTTAGGGAAAACTGAACTACCCTGGCTGGAGTGACCTGGAGCATTGTCCTGTAGGCTGAAGGATCACGGATTTGATTCCCCGTCAGTGCACATACCCAGGTTGAGACCTGGATCCCTGGTTGGGGCATGTACAAGAAAGCAACCAATAGACAGTTCTCTATGTCTCCCCCTACTTCCTCTCCTCCCTGCCTTCCTCTCTAAAAATAATGAAAAAATGTCTTCAGGTGGGGAAAGAAAAAATGGACCCACAATTGCTTAAATGGCATTTTTTTATACTTCCTTTTTTTCTTCTCTCTATATAGAGGTCTCCTTTTCCCCCACAACACAGGGCTGTGGTCAAATTGGGCGTAGAGTAGGACGGAAGCTGTCTTGGCTCTGGAGGTGCCCCACATCTGCAGCTCTTTAGTCACTGTCAGTTGAAAAAAGCCAACTGAAGTCCTTTCCAAGTATTTGCTAAATAAAAGGTCTAATCGTGTATTTTAATACGTGCTACATAAAACTTTATATTACCATTTTTTGAGTAACTGCTTTGAAATTAATGAAAATTAATTTAAACTTGTAAATTAAATAGAATAGTGTTTCCCGAAGGACACTATGTATACCATTAGTGGTGCAAGAAATTAATAGTAAGTGAACCACAATTTAAATCATTAAGTATGTTTTTAATGTGTATAGGAAAACAATTAACCCAAAGACCATGATTTCATAGGTATTATTGCATAGGGAGACATTACAGTAGGCGATTTTTGTAGTTAACTTTAAAATACAGCTACGGATGGGGAGGGGAGGGGTGAGGGATTGAGCAAAATGGGAGAGGACTCATTGACATGCACAGCAGCATGGTAATTGGCAGGGAGGGGGTGTACGGGGACTAAATGGTTCTGAAAAATACAATAAAAATAAATAGTGAGTAAATTATGTAAACTGCTTGCAAAGTGGCTGCATCATTTTATAGTCTCTCCAGCAGTGCACAAGGGTTCCAGTTTCTCCACATCCTTGTTAGCACTTGGAATTGTCTTTTATCTTACAGGCATTCTAGTGAGCATGTGGTAATTGAGAAAGTGGGTTTTACTGGGAAGGTATTTAGGGATAAATAGTAGTTTTTAAATATGTGGCATTTGGAAGGTAGAGTACATTTATACTATGAAGCTGCAGAAGTACAGCTGGGACTAATGTAGATGACAGAGAAGCAAATTCTGGCACAAAGTTAAACAGAAAGCTGTGAACTCTCCTGTAAAATAGTAGTGACCTTTTTATCGTGTGTATTTATATGCCGCTCTATCAGTTAGTGTTCTTCACTTACGGTTGACAGAAGTGACTGATTAAACCACAGGAGGAATGTATTATATGGATATGGGGTGATTCACAGAATAGGAAGCAGCTCAGCTCAAAAAATCCAAACAGCAGGAACCAATGGACAGTGTCCCCAGAGAGCTACTGTCAAGGCCAGTCAGCTCTGCTTTCTGACCTTGTGTCACTCCACTCAAGATCCTAAGCGGGGAGAGTCTGCTAGGCCTAGTTCAGCTTATGCACCCACTCCTTGGTCAAGGAGAAGGCAGAATTCATAATCTCACCAAAAGTACATGCAGTAGGTGTGAATTCCCCAGGGAGTATTGTAGTACTTTGACCAAAAGAAAGGGCTGCTAGGTGCTAGGCCGGCAAACCCAATGAATGCCCACTACACAAGGTCACTACCTCTGATAAATATTTAGGAAGAATTAGTAACAATGATAGGAGGCTCCACAAATCTCTTAAGACCCATTCATTTCTTGAATATTTATTCAGTGTCTCCTAGGATGTCTATGAAATCAATAGCTAGATTTCTTTGAGGTCAAAAATGTTTACTTTGTTACTCAAAGTATTTTTACATAGCAAATATTCTTTGAATGTAAAAGAAATGTTGCCTATTTTTTAGAAGGGGGAAATGACAATTTCACTTTATTAAACATAAACACAAGAACACATTTCCATGGTAAAAGATCGATCAGAGCAAAATGTGTGTGATTCTTCTACCCAGCCACCCTTGTGGCTTTATGTGGATCTTCATACTTAGACAAATTATGTTTCTATATCTATGCAGTGTATTGCCTGATGGCATATGGAGGTATTTCATATTTAAAAATAGTAGTATACCATATACACTGTTTTGCAATTTAATTTTTTTATTCAACATTATCTAGAGCATTACCATGACTACTGCATTTTAAAGAATACTTGATAGTACTCGATAATATGAATATACCATGGTGTATATTAGCAGATATATGTTACCAGTCTCTTATTGACAGGCATATCATATTGAAAGTGTAGAGAACTGGCGATAAAATGAAACTCTTTTTTTTATTATTATTATTTTTTTTAATTAATTTATTTACTTTTTAAATACATTTGTCTCTGCCTTCCCCCCACCTCTTTCCTAAAATGAAACTCTTAAAAGCAGCCAGAGAAAAAAGAAACTTCAGGGGTACCAAGGT